GTGTATCTTTTCTTCTAATATACACTTTCTGAGCCTCACTAAAGAAAAGAGTCTTGGTCTCAAACCTGATAATTGCGGAATAAGAAAGGCTGAGCTGGTACCATGCTCACCAAGGTTGACACGACAAATACTTTCGGGGGGTTTTTAACTGCAGATTCTATTAATAGGTCTCCATCCTCATCTTCACACATTTCCTTCAATAGCCTCTCAAATTGATCGGCACTATGCTGCAAGACATCATCGCAAGAGTATTCCATCAGCAACTTGTTGGTGATAATAAAATGCAAAACAACAAAAGTTAGCATATTTATACATAGATCCTAATTTACAGGAGAGAATATGATGTATCCACCATGTTCGGTCATTTATAATTATAATTTTAAACAATAAGTTAGATAAGAGTGACCACTAAAAGAGATTGATGCCTTGCTATCGAAAGAGTGGAGAAAACCAGAAAAACACTGGGTTGACAAATTTGACAAGAATTTTCTTTCGAAAAGTTCAAAAGCTAACAAGAGCTTCCCATAACCTAAGATAGGTAAGGTGGAACCACCACAAGAGAGACACAATTGTGCAAAAATTCTAGGAAATAATCGTACTTTAGATCCATGGACAACAACTCTAAAACTTTGTGAAGAACTTTTGTAAAGTTGATCCAGCTTTTCTCTCCAGGAAGCAGCTTCACTGTCCTTAGGTGTAGGCTCAGCAAAGACGAGTTTTCCTACAATCCAAAATAACATGTTTTACCATGAAGTGATGAAGTGCACAGAATCTAATCATTGCTTACCCTTGCAGCAACCTTACCGAGATTTTTATATATTTCTTCACATTGATCCAAAGTCATCTGCTTAATACCGAGGGCAACAGCTAGCATGCCTCCAGTTGATGTTCCACATATAAGATCAAACAATTCATGTATCCGCCTTCCAGTTCCCTTCTCAATTTCTTTAAGTATTTGAACTGTTGCCAAACCTTTCATGCCGCCACCATCCATTGAGAGTATTCGCAGTCCTTGTTTTGCTACTGGTCTCCCTTTCATGGCACGTCGTAAATTTTCATTCTCCCCTACTCCAAAAAAAAATCTATTTGAATGGATTGTGAAGACATGAAACTCAGATGTACACGTTGAATTAGATAAAAAATACAAACCAAGGATTGCTAGAGCTCGAGCTGCAGCTTTATTCACACGTGGGTTAGGTACAACTGTCAAGCGTAAGAGTAGTTCACGCAACTGTTCAGAAGTAACTAGAATGCGACGATTGTCTAAGCAAAATGCCAAGTTTCCAACTGTTAATAAAGCTGACCTTTGCACCTGCAGAAAAAGATTGTGAGAATTACATACGAAAGGGTAGAGAAGCAAGGCACAAGTTAACTGAAGAATTTAGACTTGCCTCTGGATTTGTCTGGGCACATAAAAATTTCAGGGATTTCAAAAGATCCTTGGTCAACATTTTCTGAGATACAGTGTCGGATGTGAAAGCCAACTTAGCCACAACTTGCAATACAGAAATTACTTCATCTTGTGAAACAGAATTTAGAACAGTTTTAATGGGCTGCATTATGTCTGCTTTCATCAACTGCATTGCAATGGAAACATCTGCAGCAAGAGAAGAAAGAGCAAAGCATGCTTGTACAACCTGCCAAAAGTAATAACTGTTGAAAATAAACCTAGCAGAAGTATCTCTATAAACAAATAAGTAAAAAGGAATAATCAAGTTCAGAAACACAAGTCTCACCACATGACGGTTCTCACTGCTTATCATACTTATAAGCTGATGAATTGCATTCTCATCTTTACTAATAACTGCACGATTTCCTTTATCTTGCATGATTTTTGCTAGGGCAGATGCCAGCAAAGGGTGGTGGCAGGAAGAAAAACGGAAAATAAGGGAGAAGAAGGCACTAAGCTTATGTCGAGATGCACCAAAATAAGAGTTATTTTCCATCTGCACATATCAAAAGTAAAATCAATCAACACAAAAAGTTATGTCTTATGAGTTAATGCAATCCATTATTTGAATATTTGCATCATTTTGTTCAATGCTACCTCTATTTGAACATCCACAGATCTCAAGTTTTCATCTGCCACAAGTCTGATATTTGCAAGAGAAAGATGGCGTAGATTGTGCAATGGCAAAATTTCAGGAAGAAATTCGAGGGGATTACCAAATAGTCTAAGAACACGTAACTCAGACATAGCCCTGTCACAAAGCTGGAGAAAATCATTAGACCCAAAAAAGGGATCACCAAATACTCTTGAAACAAGAGGTATAAGCAGTGTAAAGCACAAAGCAGGAGTTGCTGACTATGCAAACTAAGACAAATAACCTGAAGTCGAGAAGAGGCCTAACGAGTTTGTTGTATTCCAACGATAGCTCCACCAGCCCAACGCACTGCCTCAATTCTACTGCTCAACATTTTTCAAAAATCAAATAAATATGGCAGAAGATGTATCAAAGCAACTCATAGTAGATGCTCGTTTTTACTTGGTTTGAGTTTATACTATGCACCAGTGCCCTTACAAGTTATAGAAAACAATGCTTACCAGGTACGGAAATCAGAAAGTTGGAATCAACCCGGAGCACTTTCAAACTTTTGATCTCACCAAGCTCAGGCGGCAAAACTGATAGCTTATTGTTTTCAAGGTACAATTTCTCCAGTTGTGGCAGTCGAGATAAATCTGCAGGCAGTGCCTGGAATGAACATAAATAAAGATTAATAAACCCAACTTCAACCCGACCATAGCAATCAAACGATTGATCTATCAAAAAAAACAACAAGCAATCCAAACATAATTGATCAATCAAAAGGAAAAGAAACCGAAGATGTCGCAAGGTTCCATTGCTTCGAAATACTAAAATATGTATCTAAAAACTGGAAAAGCTGATGAAAACCGCCATTGTAATAAGCATGCTGGCAGAAGGGGAAGCTGATTAGTAAAATAAATTGCCACAAATGCTCACCGACAAACCACAGCCACAAAGATTGAGCATGGTAACAGTTTTCCAGTGCTCGCCGCAATCAATCATCCCCTCGCCAGCCCCTGGCGTCGTCGGTGCCACATTCGACCTAAACAACCGCGTCAGAACACCAATCCCATCATTCTGCTGCCCCGATCCCGCCGACTTCGTCATCGTCACGGCTCTAAGAGGTTCCCTCCTCTTCAAAACCCTCATATCTACGTCCACATTTTCTGCTTCTTCATGATACTGCAATTCTACCTGCACAGCATCCTGCGGCACCGGCAAGGCAACCATGAGCTGAGACTGAAGCCTGAGAGCCACCTGATCTTCATCGTCCCCAGCCGACCAATCCAAATCAATCCGAAATCCAAGTTCATGACCCTGCGTCAAGATGGTCGTCGATAATGACGATGACGACGAAGAAGAAGAACACGACGAAGACGATGAGACACGCTCAGGATTCTCCACATCCTCTTCTGAACCATAATTCAGTTTCAAATGAAAAATCTCAGATGACCGCTTCCATCCCAGTCCCCAGGACATTTCAACCAAATCACAATCTCTTTACAAATTCGCTATGATCCAATCGACAAGTGGGAAACCAAAGTCAATTTGCACCTGGTGCACTGCATAATACCATTGCTCTTAAACACCCGAAAGAAAACACTAATTCCTTCCAAGTACAATCAGAATCTTCAGTAGGCACGGCGGCGATTGATCCCTGGAGAGATAATCGACGGGAATTCATGCGAGCTCCTCGTTCATGTTTCGACTGGGAGACGCCAGAAGAATCTGACACAAAACGTTTAAGCCTTCTGAGTTCCCATTATTTTATTGATTTTTCGTTTCCTCAAGCAAGCACGCAATTTAGCCTTTAGGTGAACGATGTGACGTCGTTTCACTTCACATCTTAATTTCTTTAATTTCACAAATAAAATCTAATGTTTTATCTTCTTTTTCTCTTCACTATCACCCAATTTTATTTTATTACAATTTCGTTTTTATTTAGGTTTTTTTCTCCAATTTCTTGTTCCATTTTTCTTTTCAACCCATTTAATTTTTTGTTCTATATTTTTTAAATTTTACAAATTTAATATTTAAACAAATTAAATAGAGGTAGAAAAATTCCATACCACGCTAAAGACGATGATGTCCATGATAATTTCTTCGATGGTAAAGATTTTAAGCTCGATTCAAATGTAAGAAAAATACAGCAACTAATAAAGTTGTCGTAATTGCTTTCTTACCGAGAATGAACCCAACACGAACGATGAAGCTTTGTTCCCACCACAGGATTGATGACAAAATTAAAATTACTTTATTTTGATTTATAAATATTAAATATTCTGATTTTGGTTTAGATATTTCAAATTTATTCATTTTTTTTTAGTTAATATTTTGATTGGAGTTGTTTTTGCTAAATTAGTAAAAACAACTTTGGAATTTGTTTCAAAAAAACATCTCAATAATTTACTCTAAAAGGAAAAAAACCATTTGACTCTCAAATCCGTGTGAAAAAATATCATTTGTTTTTCAAAAATATTTTTGAGTTAATTTTTTTTTATTAATATTCTTAAACTCTATAAAAAAACATTAAAAAAATATATATATTTAATTTTTAAAAAAAATTTAAAAATACATTTTCTATTAATATATCGTTAAAAATATAAATTAACATTAAAACCGTTCGTAAATAATCAAGGTGTTGATAAACGATTTTTATCTAACTATTATTTTAAAATTTTATGATTATTTCTTTTATATATAATATTCACATTATTTTGAAACAACCATGAAAATAATATTTTCAGTTTAAACTCATTTTTATTAATTTAGCAATTTGTTTTAATAAGTTAATTAACATTTATTTTGAATAAAAAATAATTAATTGAATTTATATTTTTGTTCACCGCACAATATAGAAGTGTGGATTTATTTTTATTTTGATTATTATTTTGAAATATTGTATTTAAAAATAGATCTGAAAATAGGGTGAAGGCTAAAGCATAGTAACTAAAATAATATGATTGGAACAAATGTTGTGAGAGCCCCGAATTATCCTCTTTGGGAGAGAAGGATTAACAAGCATCGTTTTGGTCTCATCAGCACAATCCGGCTCCACAGCCTCCACGGGATGCTGGCTTCCATGAATATAGCTCTAGTGGCCGCCCATGGTTGCCATGACCTCATTACATCACGAACCCTGTCGTGCACATTGGCAAGAACTCGTACTAATCCCGGTGTTGCCATTTGCGGCAACTGCTTTGCTGCTCGGCGTTCTTCGAGTTCGAAGAGCAGCGTGTTCCCTTGTGAATGCTCAACAACAGACATCACAGTTACACAAACTGCAACTAACTCTGCAGAAAATGGGTACTGCTAATTTTGTCTCATGCCTTATTGTTTACTAATTTGATTGCTAGTTTGAACGGGGTTACTGTTGTTTAGTTGTGTTTTAATCGTGTCAATGTGGGATTACGATTTACTTACCTATTCAAACGGTTTGAATTGTTGGATGAAAGTCCTACATCGGCTAGGTGAGGGAATTATCATGGGTTTATAATCAAGGAATACTTTCTCCATTGGTGTGAGGCCTTTTGGGGAAGCCCAAAGCAATGCCATGAGAGCTTATGCTCAAAGTGGACAATATCATACCATTGTGGAGAGTCGTTTTCATCTAACATGAATGTTTATTTCAATGGTTGTGGGGGTATTTCATTGTTGGTCAATCCTACATTTCTAGTTCATGTAACTTGTTGATTTGGATTAGGATCTTGTTATTTTTTTCGTATTGCTTGTCATGAGGTAAAAGTTGCAGAATTCAAACAAAATGGAAGGTTAAGAATAAAAAGGAAGGAGAAAAAAGAAAATCAGTGGCTTATGGCTTGAACTATATGCGGTATATATGGATTATGAATATTGAGCATTGAACCATCTCTATTGATTGGCAATGAAAACTGACTGACTTACTAGTAGCCCCTGTTAGATAAATATGAGCCATCTTGAAATAAGAGGATGGAAATGAAGGAGTAACTAGGGTCCAGACCCCGCAAAGGGGGAGGGAGTCGACTGAACATCTGCCATTGGCGGGAATTATTTTTTAAAGATCATGAGGTCTCCCCATCTTTCGAATATGGGTCCTCAACATGCCCCCTCAAAATGATCATCTTTGGGTTCACCATTCCTAGATCAAATCTTTATTTTTTGGTATCCAATACTTGTTTGAGTGTAACAACCCAAGACCACGACTAGTAGATATTGTCCACATTGGCCCATTATGTATCGCTGTCAGCCTCACGGTTTTAATACATGCCTGTTAGGGAGAGGTTTCCACACCCTTACGAGGAATGCTTTGTTCCTCTCTCCAACCGATGTGGGATCTCACAATCCACCCGCCCGGTGTCTGGCTTTGATATCATTTGTAACAGCCCAGACCCACCGCTAGCAGATATTGTTCGCTTTGGCCCGTTACGTATCGTCGTCAGCCTCACGGTTTTAAAACATGTCTGTTAGGGAGAAGTTTCCACATCCTTATAAGAAATGTTTCGTTCTCCTCTCTAACCGATGTGGGATCTCACATTGAGCTTCATAGGCTCTAATATCATAATAGTTAAACATGAGACTCCGTCTCAAAACCAATTGGCAACGGGAAGCATTACCCACATATCATTTAAATACTGTGAGGTCTCCCCATCTTTCCAATGTGGGATCCTCAACAGCCCCAAACTTCAAATTTTACCTTCTACAGTCAAATGAAGGGAAAAAATGGTTTTCTGGCACCTTTGACGACTACTCTCTTGGATGCATAATGCACTAGCAGTAATCATGATTTGTTATTGAACTCCCTTTTCATGATTCCTTGAGGATTTAGCATGCTAAGACTGAAATTAATTTCAGGTATCCTCAATATCATCGTTTGCTTCCATGTCCCTCATTCAAGGAACCACCACGAGTTGAACATCTGGTTGTTTTGGAAGAGGGACCTGTTATGGAATACATCTCTAAATCCTTGGATCTTCCTCCTCTGTAAGTTCTATCTTTTGGTTGTTCTTAACAATTGATTCTGCAACATGATATTAAGTCTAAATAGATGAAGCATTGAATTAATAGTTTCACTGTTTGAAGTTACGTTGCAGATCTCATTCATTTTGGTGCTGTACATTATGCCTTAGTATGCCCACGGCCTCCGCCAACTGCTACCCCTGAGCAAATTAGACTATTCAAAAAATTTACAGAACCAACATTTTTGAAAGGGCGAAAATCTATCAAAGGGAAAACTATGGGAGAAGCACAGAAGACTTTCCGAATAACTCACATTGATGATTTTGTGGAAGTTGGAATGTACTTGCGTGTTTACGTGCATCCCAAACGCTTTCCAAGGTGAGAAGAACTACCTTTTTTGCCTTTCAAAAACAGAATGATGTTCATAATGGAATGATGCTTGTTGAAATTTACAATCAATCAGGTGTTATGAAATTGATTGGAAATCAAGAATAATCGCCGTGACAGAATCCTATGTGGTTTTGGACAAACCTGCCGGTACATCGGTCAGTGGTTGAACACTTGAACCATTAATCTCTGGCTTGAACATTCACTTATGGAGAATGACACAATTTATACCATCTAGCTGAACATTCATAGAATGACAATTTATTTGCATCAATACTATCTAGCTGAACATTCATTTCTTAGTTGTTGAGTATGATAAATATTCTGTTAGGTTGGGGGCACTACGAACAACGTCGAAGAAACTTGTGTGACCTTTGCAACTCGTGCTTTAGGATTAACGTCTCCCTTGTGGACTACCCATCAGATTGACAATTGCACCGAGGGCTGGTAATGATGTTCCTTGTAGATATTTTTATGTCCAATATAATGCCTCTCTTCAAAATAGGTGTTTTTGTTCATCGCACTTTTGCAGCGTCATTCTAGCTAGGACAAAAGAATATTGCTCCATCTTCCATCGTAAAATCAGAGTAAGTGTCGTGATCTTATTTCTTGAGTTTGATCATTGTGGTTAAGGCACTAAGCAATAACTCTTTGTAACATAAGTTTCCTCTGTTCATTCACTCATTTTCCAGTTTTTATGGTGTTGTAATTTGAATATGAAGCAGTTCATATTCCCATTTAGATCTTCATCATACTCCCTATACTGGTGAAGTAGTTGATGCTTTTTGTTTCTTAATTTGATAGCAATGATTTACAATTTTTTCTTTATAGGAGAAAAAGGTTATGAAGCTTTATCTTGCTCTTGCGGCTGCTCCCGTGCCGATGGGAATAATAACACACTATATGCGGCCAATTAATTTGGCTCCCAGAATTGTTTCTAAAGGCAAGTCTTACAATAAAGCATTCAAATAATAATCGGATGTTGCTTTGAACTATTTGTTGCAATTTGATATGTTGGAGAACATACGTATACCGCTTGATTATTATTTTGCAGCCATAAACTCGAGCACTTAGAAAACCAGTCTTAATTTTCTGCCTAACAAATTAATATGCAAATGGTTGCCCCAGTCACATTAACATTTCAACTCCCTCCTAACCAACACCTATGACAGTGTCACTCCCATCCTTTAACCACCCGAACTCATTGCTAGCAGATATTGTCCTCTTTTTGAGTCTTTTCCCTTTCAGGCTTCCTCTCAAGGCTTTTAAAATGCATATGCTTGGGAGAGGTTTCCACACCTTTATAAATAATTCTTCGTTTTCATCCTCAACCGATGTGTGATCTCACAATCCACCCCCTTTCGAGGCCCAGCGTCCTCGCTGGTACTCGTTCCCTTCTCCAATCGATGGGAGATCGTCCAATCACCCCCTTTTAGGGCCCAACGTCCTTGTTAGCACACCATCTCATGTCCACCTCCCTTCAGGGCTCAGCCTCCTTATTGGCACATCGCCCGGTGTCTAGCCAGTAACCCTGACCATTAATTTATCCATACTAAGGTGTGAAAGGAAGGTTTAAGTCTTTTGGTCGCTTTAAACATCTTCTGCTTGCAGACTGTATTGATGGATGGAACTTGTGTCAGCTCGAGGTGTTGGAATGTAGAGAGGTTTCATGGCCAGTTGCTGATATCGAAGCAAAATACTGTATTGAAGATTGTGGCTGGCCCTCCAAAAAGAAAGCATATGAATGTAAAATCAACCTCTTGACTGGTCGGACACATCAGGTTCTTGGTGTAGTCTTTCTGTTCCTTAACCATGTTCAGAAATTCTTGCATTCATAGTTCTTAAAACGCATACGATGTTCCTGATGATGCAGATTCGAGCACAACTGGCTGATTGTGGAGCACCATTGGTTGGTGATTCCATCTACATGCCTGCGGCAGTTGCAGAGATGGCTAATCCCGGGTCCAACCCATTTGGAAGAAGTAAGAAAGAGTATACAAGCGAAGAGGATAAAGAAATTGCAGTGGCGGAGTGGATTGCTCTGCACGGAAAAGAACCAGCCCTTGCTATTGGACTGCAGGCTTATGAGATTTCTTGGGATTCCGGGGAACACTCTTACAATGCTGGAACTCCTTGGTGGAACCAGGGGCAGTTATAGCTCGATATTGACTCCAAGCTATCATTTTGCATTAGCCAACATTCTCCAAATCTGTAAGGCTATCGTGGCACACACCTAAAAGAGTTGGAGAAAGATACGAAGGGCTTACTGAAAGCATTTAGAAAGTCAATCCAAACATGCTCCTGCTCGAAAATCATGATCATCTATGACTAGCTTAATATTATGTCAATGAACGACATTATTCAATTATTATCGAATCAAGTTTGATGCTATATACATGAATTCAAAAGTATAGTCTATAAGTGGTTTTCCTCGAAGCCTCAAGCTTTTAGTAAGAGCAGTCGGATGAGAGGAGACCTTCACATCCGATTTGAGTGTCGGGATATTATCCTTTATCAATTTGGGATGAAATTGTGTATATATATTTTTTTGGTTGAATCCCCTTTTGTAAGTTCTTCGGGTCCAAAATGTCCCTATTTGGAATACATTATAGTATCAAACTCTTGATTAAAAAAGACTTATGCCATCTCAACTTCATTACTAAGGGCTTTAGAAAATGTTAAAATTGTTTATAAAACTTAAAACTCATAGAAATAAATATGAAAATCATTTACAAACGGGATAATGAGAATTATTTATTTCAATTTAAGTCGAAAAAACGAATAATCCAAACATTTTTCTCACGTAGAAAATACCAATATTTAATTTTGAATGCTTTTTTGATAAACACAAAAATATATATAGTTTTAATAAAATCTTAATAACTAATAATTAAAAAAATCTTAATATTTAATATAATTCTGCTAAAAAAAAAAAAAAAAAAACACTTCAAACATATATTTAACACCTAATGTAATTCCCTAAAGTCAATGGAAAACACCTTTTTCCAAAAGGAAATACTTAGAGCCTCTTAGGTAAGTAATCTTTATTTTACTTTTATATGTTTTTTAGATTTGGTCGGTTTGAACGCATACCAACAATTTTTTTTATATTTATAATTTAAATAGTACAAAAATAATGTTTAAGTGTATCTCAATTTTAAATATGAAATTTTATAATGTCAAGTTATATTCAAAAATATATTTTTGAGATAAATATAGATTTCACATTCAAACTCAATCCTGTTAAATTAAAATACATATTATATAATATATTAATTATTTGATATAATAAAATATGAATAATGCAAAATAAGATTATAAATTAATTAATAATAGTTTATAATCATATAAATATATTAACAAATCAAATAAGATCAAAGATTTGAATCAATTATCAACTCTAAAATTTAGAGGTATAAATTGAATTTTAATAAATTCAATTTTTTTTTTATCTTTTAATCCCTAAATTAATGGTAACTTACAATTTTTTAAAAATTATAAAACAAAAAACTATTCGCCTTCAGTCCTCCGAGCTCCTCCGACGAAGCGATTCCCGCCACCTGCCGCTGTCGCCTCACCATCACAATCTTCTTCTTCGTTCATCATCGTCTTCCTCTATCAGTATAAAAGGATATAGAATGGTTGCCGACGGCGAGGACCCCCGCTGTTCCGGTGGCGGTGAGGTCGACGGGCGGGGGGAAAGGAGAGCGGAAGGAGGAGTGAGGGAGAGAGGGAATAGTTATTTTAATTTTTTTAATAAAAAATATTTAATATTAAGAATTGTTACTATTTTTATTTTAAAAATAGGTAGTGAAATTACATTCCAAACCTCAAAGAATCAAGAAGGGTAATTTAAAGAGGGAGTTGAAATCGTAATTTTACTTCTTTGAAAATAAAAGTCGCGAGGAAATTGGTGGTACTGTTCCCCGGCGAAGAATTTAACTAAGTCACAGCGTAACTCTTTCTCTCTCTTCGGCGCTCTCTCTTGGTTTATCTCTCTAGCTTCTTCTATGGTGGGAACAAACCCTAATTCATTTCTCTTCCCTCCTTGGCGGGATAAAATTCTGAACTCAATCGACACACTTTGTATTTCATGAATCCTTTCATGGAATCGGAAAAGCTCTTAATTTCACGAGGAAACCCTAGAACTTTAGCATATACATCCGACCGCCCACTCCCCACCACCACCGGTAGGGCTATGCCCAATGAGTTGCCACAAAAGCCTTCCCCTTCAATAGCTCACCGGTTTAGAGCTCAGCTAAAGCAGCGGGATGACGAATTCAGGGTTTCCGGCCTTGATGTTGCGCCCCTTCCTACCACTGAGGATATCGTGCAGTTGTACGAGCTCATGTTGTCGGAGCTCACTTTTAATTCGAAGCCCATCATTACGGATCTTACTGTTCTTGCTGAAGAGCAGAGAGAACATGGGAAGGGCATTGCCGACTTAATTTGTTCGCGTATTCTAGAGGTTCGTTTCTGTAATTTTGTTTTCCTCTAATTTCAGCTGAGAAGGCTCTTTTGAACGTTTCAATTTCTGGTAGTATATGAAGCAAGTGTATTCTAATACTTTCGAATAGACTGTTTTTCTTTCTCTTTTGGGGTTTATCTATCTATCGTGTCTTCCTTAATTTCGATTTGATGGGGATTTGGGCTATAGAATTTAGGCTTTTATCTTCTTTGAGGATTTTATTTTTCGAGACCTTGCGAACGTTCCAGTTCATCATTTCAAATTTTCGTGCAGGTTCCGGTTGACCAAAAACTTCCTTCATTATATCTGTTGGACAGCATCGTTAAGAATGTTGGGCACGAATACATCAATTATTTCTCGTCTCGTTTACCTGAGGTATGAAACTTTGGTTTCTGGTCCACACTTTTGATTCTTGTGTTTTCAATAATCATACCGCTATTAGTTTGAATTTCATGAGGTTCTCATCAATCCTTTGTTTTCTATTTTGGTGCTAAGGTGTTTTGCGAGGCTTACAGGCAAGTTCATCCTAATTTGCACAATGCAATGCGTCACCTCTTTGGGACATGGTCAACTGTGTTTCCACCTTCCATCCTTCGGAAGATCGAGGCTCGACTTTCTCAGCTAACAACACAAGAGACCTCAGCTTTGACATCCTCGAGGGCTTCTGAATCTCCTCGGCCAACTCATGGCATTCATGTCAATCCAAAATACTTGCGTCAACTGGAACACTCAGTGGGGGATAAAGTGAGCATCTCTCTTTTGCTACTTTTTTGGGTTTGCTTCATCTGCATGCTGTTACTTTGAATATTCAACATCCTGCATCCTTTTGTTGGCTGTTTGTCATCCCCCCTGCCTTCATTTAGTGAATGTGAACGAATACTTTTTTTTGTTTTTTTTTTAATATATAAATTGGATTAGTCTATTATTTATGTTGGGGTTGGGTGTTGCATTTGGTTGAGATGTGGTCAACTTTCACATAATTTGTACTTCCAAATCTTCTATCTACAATAATTAGTTTCTAGGACTCCAACAAATGTGACTCCAAAGATGGAATAAGTCATTAGAGATTTCTTTTGGGAAGGCTCGATGGACAATGCTTATGTTTCTTTTTGGGGGTGAGGGAGTCATATTTGGAATTTATTCTATCAGTCATTTATTCAAAAATATTTGACTGTCTAGGCTAGCTTGTGCACATCTGAATAAATTTGCTGGACAGTCGCCTGACCCTATTTTTTTTTTTTTTTTTTTCCCCCAAAGAAACTCTTAGGACTTTAAATCTTTGGTAGGTGACTACTATGACTTGAATTTATTTCTTTAAGCTCATTTAGCTTTTCACTAGTCCTAATGACTACTAAACCAACTCATAATGGATGAATTTGTAGAACTTTTTCTAGGTACTTTCTTCCTACTCAACATCCCATAGGATTACAGGTTTCTAGGCAACACTTTTCATTCAAGCTGGGAGATGGTGTTTTGTGAGGTTTGTGGGTACACTAATTTCACATTTTGTGATTCTTTTGAAAGATTGTATGCTTTGGTTAATTCCATTGGGAATATCAAAGATTTAGTAAGATATCTTGCATTCATGAGATGTTTCCTTTTGTATATCATTCAAGGGTGGGGAGTCAAGGAGTGGCCTCCCTTTCTTAAAAATTTGATAATGTTATCCTTCGATCGTCTCAAGACATAAGACTGTGGAAGCTCAATCACTTGTTAGCTTTTTTTTTCATGCAGCAGGAGAGAATATTATTCTTCAGGATTGTGGTATGTAAATATGAGATTTAAAGTTCCCAATGAGTGTATGATCTTCCTCTGGTCAATTATTCTGTAAGGGATTAATACTAATGATGGTATATAGAGAAGACATCCAAGTTGTCCTCTCACGCATGCTTGGTGCTTTCTGTGCTAGTAAATAGAGGAATTGCTAAGCATTTGTCTTGTAAGTAGAGTACAAATGATATTGTATAGCGACAACTTTCAAATTGTCCTCTCAGGCCTAGTTGGTGCTTTCTGTGCCAGCAAATATAGGAGCTGCTGTGAACTTATCTTCGAACTGTGTTTTCTCTTGGTCTCCTACTCTCTTTGGGATATTATCTCCAATTTCTCTCCTTCTGAATAGCACCGAGGAGTTTATTTAATTGATGGTGTGCAGCTTTCCCTTCAAAAAAGAAAGGGAAGGTTTCATGGCCTTGCAGTACTATTGCTTCTTCTTCTTCTTGAAGATTTGGCTGAAGAGGAACCTTAAAGTTCCAACGACAAAGAAATTCCTAAAGAAAAATTATGAGATTCTATTATCTTTGTTTTTTCTAGTTGGGGTTTACTTTTTGAATTATTATGTTATTTCCTATTTAAGTGATGATAGCCTAAGAAGCACAAACATAGATCGAATACGAGACACAAATACAATGGGACATGCAGACATATCAATTTCAACTAGGATACGGATACATTGAGGATGCAATATATATATATATATATATATATATTTGGAGTGGAGTGGGTTTGTGAATCGCAGATATGAAAATGAAGGAAATAGTCAGGATTTTTAATTTTTTAATTGTATTTGTTTTTTTTCTTTTATTTAAATTGTTGGGTGGAATGAGCATGTATTAGGGGCTGTTTGCTGAGCACAAATTAATTGTGGGCTTCTAAATTAGGCTACGCTGTGGGCTGAGCAAATTAAAGGGAAAAAAATGGTTCAGCATGTGCTCCTATACGTATCTTGGGGACATGTATATCCAAAAATTTTAAAAAGGGAAACAGATTCATGTATCAGACATGTTTCCTAAGCATATCCGGTTGAATCCGTGCTCGACATAGATTCTCTACCACAAATGAAGTATCTGTGCTTCATAGTTTATAGCTAATAAGAGAGCTCTTTTATAATTCCTTGGCTTATTTTGGGTGTTTGCCTCCTTTTGTATATTTATTTACTATCAAAATTTGTTTTATGCTGGAAAAAAGGAGGTTAGATCCATGTTCTTCAAACTGTTTGGGATTTTGTGTAGAGTCGATCATGTTCAAATATGAAATTCATATTTTATACATTTGTTGTGCGTCATCTTATATATCTTTAAATGTGTGTGAAATACACAAACACACACCCACACCTCCCAACATGATTCCCTGACTTTAATTTAATGCTAGTAGGATAGTTAATTTTCTGTTTTCTTTTGAATATCTTGCATTCATGGTGAATAAATAACGTACAAATATGTAACTAGCTTTTAGCTCTGCAGCATATCCCAGAAGCAAGAGGGGCCTCAACTCTAAAAGTTCATGATAAAAAACTTGCTCCCGGATATGAAGAGTATGACTATGATCATGCAGATGGTCTTGAACATGGTGGATCTCAAGCGTTTAATTCAATGGGAAGCATGAGCCATGATTCTTTTTCTCTTGGAACAAATAAAGCAAATATAAAGCTAGCAAAATCGTCTTTGTCTTCAAGGATTGGACACAATGGACCTCTACAATCAGTTGGTGATGAACTTGAAACGGTTAGAGCCTCACCATCACAGAATGTATATGATTATGAAGGTTTTAGAATGATTAATAGGAATGAGGATACTAATAAATGGAGGAGAAAACAATATCCTGACGATAATATTAATGGACTTGAAAGTACTTCATTTAATATTAGAAATGGATGTGCACTTGAGGGACCAAGAGCTTTAATTGAAGCATATGGAAGCGACAAAGGAAAAGGTTATTTAAATGACAATCCACCACAGGCTGAACATTTTTCTATGAATGGTATAGACAACAAGATGACTCCAGTAACGTGGCAGAACACTGAAGAAGAAGAGTTTGATTGGGAAGATATGAGCCCCACATTAGCTGACAGAGGCAGAAGTAATGATATGTCGAAGCCACCTGTCCCGCCTTCAAGATTTAGGACAAGATTAGGATTTGACAGATCAAATGTTATGTCTATAGAGCCTGGAATGAGAAACAATTCGTCTCATCAGGTTCAGCTATCTTCTTTTATTCATTCTTCTATAGTTACTGAATTTGTTTGCTCTCTCATCTCATTCTCGTCATTATTATCATTTTCTTCTGGCATTCTTTGCTTGGTCTTTATCCAATGTTATTGTAAAGTATCTCTGTTCATGATATGTTTTTTGTCACCAAGGATTACACGCTTACACTACAGTTTAAATTTTTTTTGCGACTCTGGACTTCTTAAGTTTCAGATCAAAGGAATTAGTAATTAGTGTAATTCATGTTTTCAGTTGCTCATGATTTCACTTATTCTATAACATTGGATTCCTATCATACACTTATAGACTAAACCTGTTAGATTCCCAGTGTTAAAGTTTTGTAATTGGTGATATACCACCTTTTCTTTCCCTAGTTTTTTCTGTTTTGCATCACTGAGACACTTATTGGGAGAGGTGTAAGACCCATATCTGTGTTCTGATTTGAGAGCATGCTTTTGGTAATTAATTTCTTCAATAATTATAGGTATAGTTCTGTTGAGGAGTATGTAGTAGGTACTGTGCATTCCGCAAGTTAACTATTGTATGGGTTTTTCCTATCATCAGGATGTTTGGAGTATGCACAGTCACCTTTCTCAGACATCCCAGAACCTCGTAAGCACTAAAGGAACGGGAGGAAATTTCCAGATACCTTTATTGGGGAGAGGCATAGCTTCATCTGGAGGTGAGAAGATGTCTCCTTTTGTTGACAAGCTTCCGACCAATGATGCTTTACATAGGCCTACCGTTGCTTCAAGATTGGGTTCTTCTGCTCTTGACTCTAGCATGGAGTCACAATCAGTTGTACAGTCTATGGGCCAAAGGCATCCTGTGAATCTTTCGGACTCTTGCCCACCCTCTAGGCCCCCTTTTCATGTGCCAGGACACAATAAGAGTCAGTTTGAGTCTTTAAATGGTAGCAATGCTTTCATCAATCGTGCAAATAGGTCATTTTTTCCTGAGCAGCAGATGAATAACGTGAGAAATAAGGAGCTAAGTCATACAACTAAGTCCCCACAAGTTGGTAATCAACATGGTGGGCGTATTCTTTTGACTCAGGGAAATCAATTGCAGACCATCCCTTTAAAACCACAATTTCTACCATCTCAGGACATGCATGATAGTTTTAGTGCATCAGCAGTACCTCCAGTGTTACCACATTTAATGGCTCCATCTTTGAGTCAAGGATACAGTTCTCAAGGACTTCGCCCTGGTATTAGTGAGTGTTTGTCAAGTTCTGTCCCTATTGGGCAATGGAACTTGCCTGTTCATAATAGCCCCAGTAATCCATTGCATTTACAAGGGCCGCTGCCACCCCTTCCAGCTGGGCCTCATCCTACTATCTCTCAAAAGGCAGGATCCCTTGTTCCTGGCCAGCAACCTGGAACTGCATTTTCTGGCCTGATAAGTTCTCTCATGGCCCAGGGTTTGATCTCATTGAACAATAAAGCTCCTGTACAGGTATATATCTGAGTAGTATCCTTCTTAATAGCTTAGTTTGGGCATTAAATTTTTTTATACTGTTATATATTATCCACTGAGAAAGTTATATGTTTAGGATTCTGTTGGGGTAGAATTCAATCCAGATGTACTCAAGGTGCGACATGATTCTGCAATAACTGCTCTATATGCTGATCTTCCTAGACAATGCATGACCTGTGGTCTTCGATTCAAGACCCAGGAAGAGCATAGTAATCATATGGATTGGCATGTCACTAGAAATCGTATGTCAAAAAGTAGGAAACAAAAGCCTTCTCGAAAGTGGTTTGTAAGTACAAGCATGTGGCTTAGCGGTGCAGAGGCTTTGGGAACAGAGGCAGTTCCAGGATTTTTGCCTGCGGAGGTCATTGTAGAGAAAAAGGATGATGAAGAACTGGCTGTGCCCGCCGATGAGGATCAGAAAACGTGTGCATTATGTGGAGAACCTTTTGATGATTTTTACAGTGATGAAACAGAGGAGTGGATGTATAGGGGTGCTGTCTACATGAATGCACCTGATGGACAAACAGCCGGCATGGATAGATCTCAGTTAGGGCCCATAGTGCATGCTAAATGCAGGACCGAATCTAATGTGGTTCCCTCAGAAAGTTTTGACCAAGATGAACAAAGGGTATGCTTATATCTTTTCTGTTTTTCTCCCCTAGATCCATGCCATCTGTCCTTCCTTGTGTTTCATTCTCTAGAAATAATGTAATTATGAGATAGCTAAGAAAAGATAGGACTTCATTAAAAAAATGTTAAATCATTGATCAACCCACACAAAAGCTTAAGCTGATGGGTTATGGTAAGTTAATATTTCAACAGAAATCTGCAGTTATTTTTGGTGGGTTGATGTATACCAGGTGCTTTGTTAGCTGAAAGAATTTATTAGCTTTTTTAAAACTCACACCGTTAACTTTTGACCGCAGGGAGTTAGTGAAGAAGGTAGTCAAAGAAAACGATTGCGGAGCTAGCCTAGATGGATGTCTATACTCTTGCTGTAGCTTATACAAGTTTTTCCAAATGATCGCTTGTTCTCACAGTAGTATAGCTAGAATGACTTGGCTTATGCTTGAATCATTGTATATTTTTAAAATGGAAAATTTCATGCGCAATATGTATATTGCAATCTAAAAGAGGCCAACCTTCATCTTCTTTGCTGTGGAATTTCCTTCAAGTCTTAGATCTAAATCCTCATCTTTAAAGGGTTAGTATTGTACGTTCGAATTGAATGCTTTAGTTCGGCAACATCTTGTACGTTTTCCCCATTGAATGGGTTCGTGAATCACGGCCATTAAATTGTGATTCTTCATGTAGATCAATAATTTGAGTGGGAGTCCTACCTGCCCGTTACATCTATGCTATGCTGTGTTTGACTTGACATCTGCAGGGCGTTGAATGGAGCTGCAGTTGCGGCTATCAGATCTTGCTCGATGTTTATTTCCATTCAAATGGAAGCCAAGATACTCGCAATGGACCATGGACCACTCTTGTTTCTGGTTTTACTTCTTTTTTAAGTTTTTTCTTTTGGGGTGGGGGTTCAAATTGTTATGAAGTTTGGTTCAGAGTTTGTACTCCGACAATTCTTGAACAATACAGTATGTTGAACTGTTTGAGTTACCAATATTCTGAGTACTTTGTTTTGTTTGACGACTGTGTCGATTCAGTTAAACTTCTGTTTTGAAGATCTCATAGGATGACTCAGTTTTGGATGTACTCGTTTTGAGCTTTCATATGTAAATCAATTGAATTCAAAGATCCAAATCAAAGAAACCAAGCTTGAAAGTTAACCTTTAATGCAATAATATAACCGTAGTTTTTATATCAATCAAGTTTCTTCAGCTTTTTCTCTAAGAACAACCCTCAATTGTTCATTAAATTAACAAAAGAAATCCTCCGACCGATTAGAACTACAAAGCCTTGGAAACAAAAAACGTTTAATTTATTACTAAACATTTTGGCACTTGAAGTCAATGTCCGAACCCATTACCACGACAAGCCTGCAAACACAAGGCAAGGATAACACGAGGTTCGTTTTTGACTCCTTCCCTTTTCTTTTTCATCATAAAACTCTTACCTTTCAAACTTTTTTTCTTCTGTCCTCTTTGAAATCTTGATTAGCTCACTCTTTATAAAAAAACCCAAAAAGAAAAAAGGTTGTCTCTATTAATTCATGGATGCTCACACATGACCGCAGCTCTAATCCGCTCGACCGTGCACTTGATGAGGCTGTTCACCGTCGCCACCGATCCTAGAGACAGTTTGGCAGTTGGCACTGAATCCACCAATATCTGAAATGCAACTGTCAACAAGGAGCCACCGGACCCGAACTCCAGAATTCCCGCTGGCGCATCGGGGCCACTAGGTCCATCAGGCAGTATGGCGAATCCAGACGGCAACAGAGCAACGTAATCAGGGTCTCCGCCGCTCAACACCATGTTCATGGCGACGGTGTCGACTGGTGCATATGTTATGTAGCAACCACTGATGTCGCTGCAACTCTCTTGTAGTATCAGCATGTTGCTCTGGCTTGAGTTTGTACTCTGTTATGCGTTTAAACACGTTTAGTTCTTGATAATATTTAAATGAAATTGACGAACAACAACAACAACATCAACAACAACCACAAATTCCCACTTACATTAACACGAAGCAACGACACACAGTTTCCGGGGTTGCGATCATTGCCAATGCGAGCCATTTCTTGGACCAACCCACCATTTGAAAGAACATCCCACTAGGAAAAAAGAACACCCTTTTATATAATCATTGTTCGAAACTGAAATAATAAATAGTTATCAAATGGAGCCTTACTTGACTGCGAGTGTTTTGATCTCGAAGAAAATGGAAGACCCTATTAGGGGGAATTGGAATCCAGAATGAAGTTGCTGCATTTAGAACAATTCCAGGAGGTCGCCCCGGATCGTCGAGACTCTTTCTTGCCATGACTCGAACATGGTCGGAATCAATTGTGGATAATGTTGTCCAATTGTGTGCAGAAGCAGCTCCAACGCCACTGCAGAAGCTCCTAACCATTCTCTCTGCTAGCTTCATTACGCTCCTCCTCCCCTCTTGCCCGGTTACCACTTTTAACAAAATTATTTGTAAATTATATCATTATTAGTAACTTCCCAAATAATTTAACAAAGTATATGATGTTGGGTTTATTTACCGCATATGTCTACTGCAGGAATATTGGCAGCAGAGGAGTTGGTCAGGCGTTGGCATTGTCGATCAAGCGTAGCGACCCATCGTTTGGCGCCGAAGGCAAGCCCACAAGTGACCACTCGTTTGTACAAATTGTGTACCGATCGATCATCCACTTCAACATGTTCCACCCACATAATCTGATCAAATTATCAGTTTAAGCGTTAACGAATCAAATGGTTATCAAACAAAGCCTAAATTCAGCTTAATTCAAAGAACTAAAACGGACCTTTGAGTAACCATTGGGAAGTTCTTGGATTAAGCAACCCGACGGTCTTCTTCGAGTCCTTGATGTTGGAGTGGGACGTAAATAGTCTAGCGAGACATCGACCACAGCCCAACTACGATCTGTCTGCTGCTTACAATATCTCACAAAGTAATTTTCTCGAGTCGGAACTAAAGGAGAAGGAACTTGAAACTCCGCCGTCATCTTCACAAACAACAATTTACATGTCAAAATTTGAAAGTCAAACGATCAAACTTGTAATTTAATCTTAAAAAAAGGGTGAGAACATACGACGTGGAGAGCTCCATTATAGTTGCCACCGACTCCCGTTGACAAAACTTCGAGGGTCAACGCTCTCGAAACAATCCCGCAAAATGTGTTTGACCACTGATTCTGAAATATACATCACGACGTTAAAAAATTGAATTTTATGCCTAATAGATAAAATGAAAGAGTAAAAAGGTGAAAATACTCACGACGTCCATGAGAATGTCGACAAGTTTTAAATGATTGAAAGCAACAATGGAAGTTTCTCTTGAAGCTTCAAAGCTGAGCCCCAAAATTCTTGGGCCAATTCCCGTAGAGTAAGTCCTGAGGTACTCATCTTCATTAAGCATTTCCATGGAGTTTTCCCCAGGAACCCACAAGGGTTCACCTGCGTGAGCCATTCTGCAAAGTTCTTCCATGGCTGAAACAGCAAGCTCAACGATCACTGGCTTATCAATTTCAGTTGTGACAGACTTCAACATGTCTCCAACTCCATAAATTTCCCCCAAGAACTCTGCTTGGGGCGGCTGCAATGCTCTGCCAACCCCAAGATCAAGGGCGCAGGGCGGGATGCGAGAATGGGAAGCCCATGGCTTCCCAGCAAACTTGCTAGCAACTGAATTTAATCTCTCAATCTGTTTGGTAAAAGAACATTAAAACAGTTATGTTTTAATGGAGAGTCCATGTTGGCTAAGTACGGAAACAATCCTAAGTTTATAAGTAAGGAATATATCTCCATTGATATGAGACCTTACAATATCATACAATTATGGAGAGTCGTGATTCCTAACATGATATAAGAGCTATGTCCTTAATAGAATCCTCAAATGTCGAACAAAGAAGTTGTGAGTCTCGAAGATATAGTCAAAAGTAACTCAAGTGTCAAACAAAGGGGGTGTACTTTGTTCGAAGACTCCAGAGAAGGAGTTGAGCCTCGATTAATGTGAGGCTGTTCGAGGGCTCCATAGACTTTAGGGGAGGTTCTATAATGTACTTTGTTCAAGAGGAGGATTGTTAAGAGGGAGTCTTTCATTGGCTAATTTAAGAAACGATCATGGATTAGAAATACATCTCGAAGCTTTTTGGGAAGCCTAACGTAAAGCTAAGAGATTATGCTGAAAGTAGACAATATCATACCAACGGTAGTAGCTAGATTACCTCATCCCTTAGCTGCGCATTGTCGATCCTCAAATGTTGGTCATCAAAGGACATCTCGCCGAGAGCCGCAGGGCCGCCACAATTGGGGCAGCTGGTGTTGCTTAGAGCTTCCTTGTACCGCATGTTCTCTGCTCGTAGTTTCTCGTTTTGAGCCTTCAAGATTGCGTTCTCATGGCGTTCATGTTGAGCCTTAATTAGTGCAGCACAGATTGATTAAACCATTAAAATTTGGACGGATAATGATGATTACAATGATGATTACAATGATGATTATAAAGATGATTAAAATGAATATAGAGAAGAATGAGACACCTTGAGTTGGGTACGCTTGTTTTGAAACCAGAACTTGACTTGGAGGGGATCCAGCCCTAGCTCACGGCTCAGCTCTTTTCTTTGCTTGTCATCTGGGTGAGGGCATTCCTTAAAGAACCTGTAACATTCCACCTTCAAATATGTTCAAATTAATTCATTTTTAACTTATTATTCTTTTTACTTTCATGTGATTAAATAATTTGTTAAAAATTTTTATTTAAAATTTAATAGATGGCTCTCATTTCATAACCATTTTATTTTTATTATTCTATTTTAAATAATTTATTAAAAAAACATTTTAATTTAATTTAATTTAATTTTCTTTTTTTCTTGAGACCATTTCATTTCTATTCTTGTATTTTACAAAATTAAATTTATAAATTTCTTTTAAGCAATTTTTACCCATTTTTAAACCATTTCATAAACCAAGCCCAAAATTTAAAATTTAAAGAAAATAGTTTGATATATATTTTTAAAATTAAGTCTATTTATAATTTTCTACCAATTTTTACCTACTTTTTAAACAATTTTCATCCAAAATTTGAAATTTAAAGAAAATAGTTTTTAAATATACATATATATATTAAAATTTACTTAAAATTCAATTTTTAAACCAGAAAAAAACTCCCCCACAAAAATTATGATGAAATAAAAAACAAAAAAATAAAAAATAAATTTTAATTTTGTATTTTAGGACATGAATTTTAAAAAGATATTAATGTTAAATTAACCTTTCATCCAACCATTAATTCATTTTTGAAAAAGATTATTAAATCATTAAACTTTTTTTAATGCATAACATTCCATTAAACAAGCAGGTAATTAGAAGCTAATGAAAGCAATGAAGCAATTAAAAAGAGTGTAAAGAAGAAGATGATTACGCTTCCATTTCCTGGATTTGAAGCTGAGTATGGCGATGGTAACGCTTCCTCTTATTAGTGGGATTGTGAAGAAATGGGTCCTCTCCCATGGCGGCGTCCTTCACCGATCTGCTGCTCTCCATCTGATCATCTTCCCCAAACTTCTCCAGCTCCGTTTCGAAGTTTTTCTGGGTCATCTCCAGGAGAACAACGTCCTCCTCATCATGATGTTCTTCGTAATCATGCCCTCCCAACATCTCTTACGATCTCTTGATCTTCAAACCCCCTTTAACATTTACAACTTATTATTGCACACAGATGATGCACCCACAAATGGGTACTTTTATTAATTACACATTCATACTCATACCACTGCATTTCATTTTTTCAACCCTGTCCTTTCAAACAAGGACCTTATTAAATAAATCTTATCATCATCCTTGGGACAGAGACTGAAAAGCCGGTTGAGGATTGTTGGACGAAGAGTAGTCCCACAACGACTAGTTAGGAGGTTGATCTCATGAGTTTATTTATTTATAACTAGCGTTAGAAATCACGAACCTCTACAATGATATAATATATTTCTAGTAATTTTG